CTCTCGGAGAGCCCAGCAAGGCACTGAGAGTATCCCACCCACACGGCAGAGCCTGGCAAGCTCCCCGTGGCATATTCGATGTACCAAAAACAGTAACAACAAGTCTCACAATGGAGATGTCATTGGTGCCTGCTCGAGCAAATTGATGAACAATGGGACGACAGTGCTATACAGTGTTTGATAATGCTATGAGGGGAATGGACAGGACCTGAAAATTTCAGAACCAATAAGGAAGAAATAGGGCCTAGAGGATATATCCAGGATATATCCAGAGCTGAGGATTGGTGCAGAGCCAGGGCTTCAAGGAAAGAGAAGAAAGACTCTCCGGGCCAGGACAGATGTGCTCTGATGAGTTGTTGGTCCTGCCATTTTCATAGCCTTTTTCAGAAAGAAAGATTATTTCTAGTACTGACTCTAATTCTGGGCAAAATCAGAAAGTAATCTTTGTTCTAAGTAGTTAAGGAAGTGATACAAATTTCTCTTGGGGTGGAGAGATAGTACATGGATAAGACAATTTGCCTTGCATACAGCTAACTGGTTTCAAGTACTGGGACCCCGTATGGTCCCCTGAACACCACCAGGATTGATGCTGAGTGCAGAGCCAGGAGTCAGCCCTGATCACTGCTGGGTGTGATCCAAAAACAAAAAAACAAATTTTCCCATGAGCCTAGAAGGCTTGAAATGATCTCAGAATAATACATCTATCTAGGTGGCATGTCCTTGTGGGAGTCTGTTCTGAATATCGTTGGAAACCTTCTCTGAACACCCTTCCTTCAGGACCTTCCAAGGGGAAGTTCTCACCTTCCAAGAGCCATGAGAATTGTGTGTGCCCAGGGTGTGTTGCCTGTTCAAAGAGTTGTCCCTGTCCTGTCACTTCTACTGCTCTTTGCACCCTCAGCTGACACTTTTCTTCATATGGGATCTGAAATCATCTCTGCACACCTCCCTTTACTTCTTCCAATTTGGGGAGGTCTTTCAACCACCACTCATGGACCACTTATGCAGAGATCCCTGCCCATGAGGTCTTAGCCTGACTTTCATTTCAGGGAACCAGAGTAGGCTGCCTCACCTCACAGAAAAAAGGGTAGTCATCCCCTTCCCTGAGGCAGGGACCTGCAGTCAGTGCAGGTCTGTTATGACTTTTATCCTCCAGCTGTGTTTTTTTCAGCACTTTCAAAGCACGAGTTGATAGCAGCGCAGAGCCTCTGCTGATCTCTAGGATTCTAGTGAGTGCCATGGAGAGAAGGTGACACAGTTTCCCCTGCTAGTACAACTCAGCCATCCCCACCACCACCCACCCCTGCGCCCTTAGCCTGAGCGTCAGCATGGAAGTTTAAATATCTCTCACATGAGCTCTTACCTAGAATCTTATCTAGAATCTTATTTGATCAAAGTAGTTTGCTACCTGTCGATCTAAGCCAACATCTGCCCCTGGCATTGGAAAACAAAATAGGTGCATTGTGGACCCTGCTCATTGCAAAGCAATATGGGGAGGCCCTGTCACATCTTTGCTCAGATACTGTACCATGAAAACAGTCTTGAACATGACTGCTCAGATACTGCCCATTCTCCCCTCACTGCTCTCTCCAGTCATACTATACCAGCCTCCTTTCTTCCCAAGGCTTTAGGTTCTGGCATCTAGGAAATGCTCACCAAGGAATCTTCAACTCCCAGCCAGCTAGACCTCAGAAAAATAGGCAAGTCAATGAATTGGGGAAATAGACAGACTTTTCTTTCTTCTCTTCTTTCTTTTTTTTTCCTTGATTTTTGCTTTTTTGGGTCATACCCAGTGATGTACAGGGGTTACTCCTGGCTCTGCACTCAGGAATTAACTCCTGGCGGTGCTCGGGAGACCATATGGTATGCTGAGGATTGAACTCGGGTCGGCCACATGCAAGGCAAACACCCTACCTGCTGTACTATTTCCGGCCCCGGACAGACTTTTCTTGGCTGACAGCTCCAAGAAGTGAGCAGAAGCTCTGCTCATAGCCTCAGTTTCAGTTTGCAGGAATGGTTCAGAGAAGGTGCTCATGGTCACACAAAAATAGGGTGGTAGGGGTACACCTAGTAAGAATTGGAGTCTTCTGAATCTGTGCATTTCCCTTTTTCTCTCAGCTCTATCCGAACTGTCAGCCCTTCCCTTGCCTTCATTTATTTCTGCCTTTTTATTTTAATGCCGTGTAAAAGGCCATGTGACAGGGCTCCAGCACTTAGATTGAATTTCTATTTCATGGGGTGCCCACCCTTAATTTCTATCCCCATGGAGCAGACAGTGGCAAGTAGTGCAGAGTAGAGCTTGGACACTGGGCGAACGCTAGGAGGCCTGGCCATCCTAACAGAAGTTGTCTCCCTCCAAGCCTTGAAGTAAGAATGAATAAGAGTCGCTCTGCCAAGCAGGATGGGATGGACTTCCTGCACAGGGGAGACTGCTAGGGCAGGGGCCCATCAGGAATAGCAATGGTTCTCTGTGGGTCAGTTGTACTGCGTCAAGTTACACGTCATCTCTTTGACACAGTAATGGCTCTGTATTCTTCCACATCACTGAAAGTCAAGGCAAAGGCTAATGCCAGGGATTTAACACTATCAGGCTGACCCTGTTTCTCTTCATATGGGACCTGAAATCCACAGGAAACAGTGGCCAGTATGACCTTGCCTGCTGCCTGAAATCAAGTACTGGACCAGAACAGAGCCAAGTTTCTTTGTACCAGGGATCGTCTGAGGGCTGGTTCTGAAGGCCTCATTAGAAAGCACCCATCTCCGGGCTGATTACTGTGGTAGAGCAGAGCCCTCTGCTGGCCAAGCCGGTTAATTCAACTCACTGACAAACTCACTGGCAGAAGCAGAGAGGCAGCTAGGAACCACAACCGTGAATGCCACTAGGTTCCAAATGCCAGCCAGGATTGTTGTGAAAGTGGAAGATGAGCGGGAGACAAATCAAAATGACCTTGCCAGGCGCTGGTGGTGCCGGGACAGTGCGAGGTGGGAAGCTGGGGGTGAGGAGCGGGGGAGACCCGAGGTCAGGGATGGGGTTGATGTATACATTCATTACGTTTCAAGCCCTAGGTTTCTGCAGGAAACTGTTGAATTAATCTGGTTTTGAGCTTCCCTCTTTCTACCCAAAGGGAATCAGTCTCCCTTCAGTGCTCACTCTCTGAAAACTCTCCAGCTTCATAACCATCTAAACAGTGGAGAAGGGAAAGAATTGATTGGGCAAATAGGGATGAATGGGGTCATTGCAAAACAGAATGCGGAATGGATGTGCTTGGGTGCAGAGATGAGAACATGGTTTACTCTACAGAGGCTCTCAGAAGTCCATGAAGTCTGGGGGCTACTTTATGGGCATTTGGGACCTTCCTGTCTGCTTTCTTTGAATGAGTGTACTCCCTTTTCTCTCTCTCTCTCTCTGTTCCTCTGGGTGCTTGGAATGTATGGGAGTGTTGGGGGTGTGCGGGGGCAGGGGTCAGTTGGGAATGAGATTCTGCTTCCTTCTTTCCTTGGAACCTGTGGTAAGTCATTTCATACTTTGAATCTATCTCAGCTTCTTCTGTGTACAAAATGGGAAACCCCTATATAATATAGTGGGTAGTAGACTTGGAGGATTATGAAGAAGCAGATTCTTATGAATATACTGTCATAACTAACTCTTACCGGACCACCAAGAAACTTTAATTTTCAGTGTCTGAATAAATATTGTTTATTCATATACTGAAAATAATGTAAATGATGAACCCTGACAGAGTTCAGCATGTGGCTTTTGGTTTTTGTACACCTGCCAACACACTGGCCTACAGTTGAAAACTTTTCCTCTGGCTTACTAGGTATGGAATTCTCAGCAGATACCTTTCTGTTACCATCCTATCTTCATAACATTCTGAGAGTGGATGTATTATTATACCATTTCACAGAGGGAAAAACCAGGAGCTGGATGGTTGGGTCATGGGCTTGACACCACACAGCTGGAAAACCAGGCTGTGCCCTGAGCCATCTGAAGTCCTCTCTATAAATAGAGGGTAACGGGAACATTTGGAATCTGAGGCAGGAGGAAGACAGCTACTCCCTGAGTATACCATTTGTCTTAATTTTTATAGACTCATCATTAGTTTATATATTATGTAATTTCAGGAGTTTAATTTCATACTTGTGAGTATGTGTCACTGTTACCAGCACTAAAGTTCCTCCACTCAATACCTCTCTTTTTATTCTTCACCTCTCTTCTTCCCCTATGGTCACTACTATAGTTTTCACTGAGACCCAGAGTTAGTTTTGTTGTTCCTAGCCAGTTCATTTCCTTTCATTATCCATATTCCACATTCAGCAGTTGTCTTACCCTTCCTTACTAAATTCAAGTAGAATCATGGATTCGACTTCCACCCAAAAGACACACTTGCAGCCTAGTAATGGCAGGGACATATTTCACTGAGATTATAAACCACAGAGGATTTATTCACTCTTCAGTCAACGAGGAAAAGCTCCAAGGTGGATTCCAAGTCTCAGCTTTTGTGCTTAAGTGCTGCTGGGAACAAAAGGGCACACGTATATTTTTTGAATAAGAAAGGGTTTTTCTTTGGATAAATGTCTAGGAATGAACCTGTCATTTCTTTGCAATCCTGAACCCAGGACAGCACGAAGGAGTGAGAAAGCAGTGGCTGCTCCGTGAGCTCTGTGTGCATTGCTCCCTCACTGAGCATTACTCTGTTCCTAAGCATGGGTTTAGCTCCCAGATTTCCCTTGAATCTTTCTGTGTCTTGAGTTCTGACTGCAGAAAAGGTGGGTGGGGTGTCTCTGTGCCCCTTAGCAGCTTTGTGGAATTGGTATTCACTTCCTGTTGTATGCACGCACTAGCTTCTCGAGGGCAAATCCGTTCCACATAGCAGTCCGCAATCTTGACTGCTGCAGGGAAGACCAGAGACCTTGTCTTGGAGTCAGTAGAGAGTGGACAGAATTTTGTTTTTATAAATTAATAAAATGTTGATTTGTTTTCTTGCCCCTTTTCTGTGAAGATGACAGACAACCAACCGTGAGTGCCTTCACCGAACAGACTGCTTAACCGCACAGCTCTGTTGACTTCTGGGAAGGATCCCCTTCTGATTATGGATCATTAAAGGTCAACCTTCTCAGAGGAGAATCGCAGCAAAGACGAATACCCTGATCCTGAGCCTTCACCCTTCTTTACCCTCCGGCGAACCCGGACTGTTATTGATACCTCTGGTCCTTTACATGGGAAAGGAAATCCTGAATTGAGCTTGACTGAAGCTTCATCAGGAGACCAGATCTGTTGTTCCAGGGTTGCAGACATAGCCAGCTATTTTCCTTGTTGAAAAGACAAATTATCTACAGAAGAAAGAGCCAAACCACAGGAGCCATCCTCTTAACATCTGACTGTCATCTGTGAAGGTCCGTGTGCCTGCCCAGTGCGGGTGAGGGCAGCCGGAGCAGGCCTGAGGCTCTAATCCACCTTCAGGAATCCGTGCCTAGCCGTGTGATTTGTGTTTCATCATTGGGATTTCTCTTTCGAATTCCTTCTCTATCCAGCATCTGTGTGTCCAGCCCATCAGCAGGAGGGGCCCCCTGACAAGGGAGAGCCACAATGGCCAATCTGAAGAAAAGGATATTCAAATTCCTCATCCTCCTGATCCTGCTCATCTTCGTCCTGAACATATCCCTCGTCCTGGTCCCCACCACCTGGCTCCCCAAGCAACTGATGCAGGAGTTATCGGACTTAATGAATTTACTGAAACCGTACAACAAGGTTTGCAGCTGTGCACGCTGCATTGAGGAGAGGGGCATCTCGCTCTGGTTCGACAATAGGTTCAACAGTTCCATACCACCGCTGCTGACGTTGGTGAATGCCGTTCTAGATAAAAACACCTCTAGGTGGTGGCTGGTGAGAGCAGGGGCTGCTGGGGCAGGGGGGTGGTGCGGGGAGAGGGCTGGTATGAGAGCAGTGGGCTTCCCAAAATCAAAGGCTCAGGCTTCAATACACTGGGGCCCTGCCAGGTGCTTTTAGCAGAATGGGTCATTCATCCATTCTGTTTTAGCAGAGTGTGTCATTCATACATCCTGCCAATGATCCCCCGAGAGTCGTGGCTGCAGCTTACGCACTTTGCTTTACTGTCTGTCACCAATCATTGTGCTTTTGTACAAATTGCAGGTTTGGGGCCTGTGTCCAGATAATCTGTTGCGGCCATTTTTCCAGGAGCCTATTGCCTGTCACATTTCAGTAAAGCAGGGGCATTGTGCTTCGGACACTGTTGCACACTTATGACGGTGCACTCAAAATAGAATTAATTTTGTTCCATTTTCACCCTTCCAAGCAGTGCACAGAGGATCACCACAGCTGTGCGAACAATGCTCAGAATTGTGAATGCCATGGGTCAAACATGGGGCCTTGTACATGCCAGTCATGGAACACAGGAGCCACGCATGAGGTCATGGGTGTAGCCACCAAGTCGTTCATAGATCACTCTGAAAAAGTATGTGAGTGTGAGCACTGATCTGAAGGGACTGAGAGGACAAGCCAAAGGCCCAGGCTTGGGCCTAGTTCTATCTCCCATGCCTTCCCCTCCACGTGCAGTGGGCTCCAGGCAGGTGATGGAGCGGAAGGGCAGGGTTTTTGCCCTCTCGGAGGGTTGGGTGCTACTCACAGAGGCCATGGACCAAGAGTGAGAAGAACCAAGGCAGAGTTTGAGCTGAAGCTTTACGAACATTTGAGGTTGAGGAGCAGGATTTCCATCATGAGGACCCCAGCCTGGAAAACCCACGTACAAGATTAGAGACCTACTTTCAGGGGCATTAACACAGCTGCATGGTTAACATCTGGGTGTTGTGCTTCCATCCTGAGAGGCAAAAGGGGCTGGTCTGCCAGGCAGGGGAGTGTGTGTGTGTGTGTGTGTGTGTGTGTGTGTATTTAGTGGGTGGGGGAAGGGTGAATCTTTCCATCACAGTTCCAGGTGGGATGTGAAGGCCAGAAGACTAGCTACAATGCCTCATACCTGGATAACCCTCCCCCAGAGCCTCAGTGGGTAGGGTGGGGCAGATATGAAGGTGTGTTGAGGGCCGGAGCAATAGTACAACAGGTAGGGCACTTGCCTTGCACCTGGTCTACCTACCATGTTCTATCCCTGGCATCCTATATGGTCTCCCCAAGCACTGCCAGGAGTAATTCCTCAGTGTAGAGATAAGAGTAACCCCTGAGCACAGCAGAGTGTTGCACCCAAACCAATAAATAAATAAACAAAAAGAAAGCTATATTAGCTGAAGACATCTCAGGCCTTGCTCATATTCTTTCCCTTGCCCTCGGCCTACTAGAGTAGATGCTAGTCCCCAGCCTGTGTGCTGTCCTCACGCCCTCCCCACTATGCAGGCAGATCTCTATCTATGTCTTGTTCTAGCCCTGCTATGCTTGCATCGTCATCACAAAAGGCAGGGAAATGACAGTACACCAGGGTCCTGAGAGCTAATATAGGGCTAGGGTGCTGGCCTAGCATGTGGCCAACCCCAGTTCTGTTCCCAGCACTGAATATGGTCCCCTGATCACCTTCAGGAGTCTCTGCTGAGCAGAGTCAGGAATGGCCCCGAGCACCACTGGCTGTGGCTCAATCCTCCGCCTCCTCCTTCCTCAAAGGAAGAAAATCCAAATACCAGTAGCCCCCTATCCCCATGATTTGGTTCTCTGAAGTTTTAGCTACCCACCAGCTCAGAACAGTAGAACAAGAGTCCGGGACACAGCTTACTAGGAGAACTTGTGTTTCCCATGGCTGAGAGGTTAGCTTTGAGCCCTGAAAACACCACGATAAAATTGAATTAGTTTTAATAAAACTCTGACGCACAATAAGATATTTTGAGAGAGACCAGAGTCACATAATTTTAATTGCAATATCTTATTATGCTGGTTCTATGGTTTTATTATTACTTATAATTTATTGCTTATTGCTTACTATACCTAAATTTGTAAACTAAGCTTTAGTCTAGGTATTTATGCACTAAAAATATAAAAACCAGAATATCTAGAAGATTTGATACTGGCTGAATTTTAGGCATTCACTTCGAGTCTTGAGAGCCATCTCCACAGGCAGGGGCCAGTATTCCTCATTAGTGGAATCCTCAGTATAATACCACTACTTTTGATGTTCCTCAGCAAGAAACTAAGGCTACCAGACAGTCTGACCAGTATTATGGGCATGATCTATGATTCATATCTGCAGAAACACAACTCAGTTGCTCCCACCTCACCCCTGGCAATACTTCAAGGCTTACTCCTGGATCATTGCTCAGCAGTCACTCCTGGCAGACTTGGTGGACTGTAAGGGATGTTGGGGATTAAACCTGGATCAATTACATGCAGGGCAAGTGCCCTCCCCACTGTACTATCTCTCCACACCCCTCTACCCGTGGAATGTGACTCAGCTAGCTGTCAGGAAAGCTGCAGTCTGCATCATGCTAAGGGAAGTGAGACCAAGGGGGAGGGGAAATAAATACCAAAGACTTCATTCATATGTAGCGTCTGAACACCAGAAGAAATTCTGTGATAATAGTAGATGCGGAGAGTAGTCATACAGAACTGAGTTTGCTGAGGCAGGCAGGGGAGGGGACCTGGAGACAGTGGGGGAGGGACGCTGACACCTTAGTGTTGGGGGCAGGGGAGTGAGGCTATGAAACATTATTAACAATCACAATGCCTTAAAATATATTTTAAGGGGCTGGAGTGATAGCACAGCAGGTACGGTGTTTGCCTTGCATGCGGCTGACCCAGGTTTGATTCCTAGCATCCCATATGGTCCCCTGAGCACTGCCATGAATAATTCCTGAGTGCATGAGCCAGCAGTAACCCCTGTGCATTGACGGGTGTGACACCACCCCCCCAAAAAAAGGAATAGATAGATAGATAGATAGATAGATAGATAGATAGAGTATAGCAGGTAAGGTGCTTATCTTGGACTTAGCTGACCCTAGCTACAGCCCTGCACTGCATATGATCCCTTGAACACCACCAGAAATGATTCCCAAGCACAAAGCCAGAAGTAATCCCTGAGCACAGCTGCCCAAGAGAAAAGAAAAAGAAAGAAAAACACACCATCCTTTGACTCATTTTTATGGGATTTGTGGTCCATCTGTTTTATAGGACATATTCAAAGGTTGTTTGGGGGGGGGGGTTATGCCCATATATGCTTATAGTTTATTCCTGGCTTTGTGCTCACGGAGCACAACTGGTATTGCTCAGGGAGCCTCATGATATGCTGGGAATTGAACCTGAGTTAATTTTATCCAAAACAACAACAGTCACGGTCCATTTGCTCGAGCGGGCCCAGTAACGTCTCCATCATGAGACTTGTTGTTACTGTGTTTGGCATATCAAATACGCCATGGGTAGCTTGCCAGGCTCTGCCGTGAGGGCGAAATACTCCCGGTAGTTTGCTGGGCTCTTCGAGAGGGGCGAAGGAATCGAACTCGGGTCAGCCATCTTGGCCGCTCATAAGGCAAACACCCTACCACTGTGCTATTGCTTCAGCCCCATCCAAAACAAGCGCCCTACTTATTGTACTATCTCTTCAGTCCCAACTTAGGAAATCTCATCAGTTTTTGCTCTAAAGGGGCAGGCCAGTCTGTTAAGAAGCAGCTACATGATAAGGCCATCCAAGCAGTGGCTAGACATGGGATGTGAGTCTACAGGCAGGGGACTAACAGTAGGACAACTGCAAGTGGCTTAGCACTGAAAGTTCTGCACTTGGGGAGACCCACTCCTGTACAGGGAGGCTGCAGCCAGCATTTGCCACTACCTGGAGCTCAGAAAGCTCCTGGGACAGCTGATTTTCATGCCACATCCCTAAAGAACATCAACACAATAGAATACTGTGCAGCTGGATGAAGTCATGAAATTTGCATATAAGTGGATCAACATGGAGAGTATCATGTTAAGTGAAATAAATCAGAAAGAGAGGGACAGACATAGAAAGATTGCACTCATTTGTGGAATATAAAGTAATAGAATGGGAGACTTACACCCAAGCATAGTAAAGATGAGTTCCAGGAGGATTGCTCCGCAGCTTGGAAGCTGACCTCATATGCTGGGGGGAAAGGCAACTCAGATAGAGAAGAGAACACCAAGTAAAAGGTGCCTGGAGGGTCCTCTCAGTATGGGAGATGCAGGCTGAAAGTAGACTATAGACCAAATGATGGCCACTCAATACTTCTATTGCAAACCACAATACCCAAAATGAGAGAGAGAGCAAAAGGGAATGAATGCCCTGCCACAGACGTGGGGCAGGGTGGGGGTGATGGGGTGCGGGTGGTGGGAGGGATTCTGGGATCATTGGTGGTGGAGAATGGGCACTGGTGGAGGGATGGGTACTCGATCATCATATGACTGAAATGTAAGCATGAAACTTCGTAAGTCTGTAACTATATCATGGTGATTCATTTAAAAAACAAATAAAATATTCAGACTCCTTGGGAGTCAGATGGTGAAGGCCAGGATGTGTTCAGCAAAGGACTGATTTATTGGTCTGGCTGGAGCTCAGTGGTCTTGGGGCTGATAGAACTGAGGGGTGGCAGGGTGAGGGTGCAGAGGCAGGCAAGATGGACACGGGGTCACCTGACCTTTTCTCTGAGCTTTATTGTCTCTTGCCTCCAGTAGCCTGAGTAGCACCCTGCCCACAGTAGAAGCTCTATAGACATTTGCAAAAGGAATGAATGAATGAATGAATGAATGACAACTTCCCTTACCAGCTCCCTGGGCACCCCTTGGGCACCTGCAGCAGCAGTGCCTGTCCCAACCATGTCCAGCTCCTGCTCCAGCTCCCCAGTAGGACAAAGGGGATAGGAGACAGAACTGGCACAGTCAGGCTAACCTGTGCCTTTCCTCCTCCGCCCACAGAGTCTCCAAATGGAGAAGAATCCCAGTCGTTACAATGACACCATCGTGAAGCTCTTCCAGGTGATCCCTGGGGACATAGACCCCCTGTTGCAGAAGAGATTGGGAAGCTGCCGGCGCTGTGCCGTTGTGGGCAATTCTGGCAACCTGCGAGATTCCTGGTATGGTGCCCAGATTGACAACCATGACTTCGTGTTTAGGTGAGTGCCCCAACCTATCCCCAGTGCCACTGTGCCAGGCCCCCAGGACCCCTGAGCTAGAAGAGAAATTTTGGCTCAGGGTTAAAGGGTGAAGACCCCAGCCCAGGTGTGCTTGGATTTATCAGGGAATCTCAGGCTCCTCCTTATACCCACATGGGCTTCAGTTTCTCCATATTCAAAAGGGACCCAATGGATGGGGAGCTTGGCATCTACAGGCCTGGTGAGAGAGAGGGATTTATTTGAAAACTCATGTTTTAGGCTTAACATTCATCCTCATTTTGCTAATTAAGACTCTCTTAGCATAACTATATAACCCCCTAATTCCCCACACCTACCTATAGCCATGATAACACATGCCCAGCATCTGTCTGGGCGTCTGGTAATCCCTGATACATCATTCTTGACTTGAGAATCTCAAGTGTTTGAATGTGGGCGGAGTCCAAGCAATGCCCAGGAAGCTTCTAGAAAAGTTTGTTCTGGGGTCTCTTACTTTTTGCCTGTAGGCCCATTGCCTGGCCTCCTGGACCCTCCATGGGTCCATAGTGTAATGAGCTTAGGTCGGTCACACAGACCTGGGTAGCTCTGTGGTCTGACACAAAATCTCTACATTTTAGAGTTCCTCAACCATCAGCTAGCATAGCCAGCACCCAGGTTGAACAATCCATGTCACCTGACTGAGACCGCATCTCTTGTACGATCAAAGGCAGGGCTGGAGAGTTGGCTTACAGGATGAGTGCATGCTCTCATGTAGAAAGTCTGGCTTCCATCGGTGCCGGCACAGGGTCCCCCACACTCCACTGTGAATGACCCCCATTCATAGAACACAGAACAGCCATTGAACTCTACTTGGGGGTGACCCTAAAACCAAATAAAATTTTTATGGGTTTTGATTTGGGGCTGTGCTCAGATTTTTTGCTTAAAAATTATTCCTGACAGGGTTCAGGGAACCATCTGAGCTGTCAGAAATCAAACCTGGGTCTGCTGCATGCAAGAGAAGTGCCCTACCTGCTCTACTGTCTTTCAGGCCCTTAATTGTTTTTAATTTAAAAAGGAAGTTTTGCAGATTAATAACTTGGGGTTGCAGTGAAGATGGAGGACAAGCCCGAGCTTCCACACTGTACTGCCAATGTTAAAACCTCCCCTCAGCAGGCCCCTGTGAGGTGACTCCTCCACCCTGGCTCCTTTCTGCAGGATGAATAAAGCCCCCACAGCTGGCTTTGAAGACCACGTTGGGAGCAAGACCACCCACCACTTCCTGTACCCTGAGAGCTACCGAGAACTTGGGCAGAACGTCAGCATGATTCTGATTCCCTTCAAGATTCTGGACATGGAATGGGTGGTGAGCGCCATCACCACGGGCACCATCACCCAGTGAGTCCCCTCGGGGTACCTGGATGGAGGGTCCCGCTCCAGCCCTGTCTGTCTGGGTACCACCCTTCTCTTCCCTGCCACGTCATACCCACCACAGCCTTCTTGCATTGCTTCTCCATCAAAACTGCCTCTCATCTCCACAGGAAATGTCCCTCTACTCCATGGGAAATTCCTCTCTCCTTCTAGGATGCCTGAGCAACCCCAGCTCCTAGTTCCATCCATTCCCTCCACTCCAGTTCCTCCTGGGCCTCTCTCCCACCAAAAAACAAATTAAGCTCAACTGAAAACTCCATAGGAAAGATGAGATCCCCTCCCTCTGGAGCCCGCAATACAGAGAGAGAGAGAGAGAGAGAGAGAGAGAGAGAGAGAGAGAGAGAGAGAGAGAGAGAGAGAGAGAGAAGCTCCTCAAATTGTTCCTTGCTTTGCAAAATTGAGCCTGGATAGGGCCAGGGAATGTGGCTCTGTGCTAGATCATCCACATCATATGCAGCAGTTCCTGAATGTGATGTTTGTACTGAAAAAAAAAAAAAACAGTGGTAGCAGGAGCAGTGTCACTTAGCCCTGGCTTGAGTCGCGGGGTCCCTTGAGTGGGAGCACTCACTGCCTGAGCAGCTGGCTGTTTGTTCCAGCAGAGCCTTAGTGCAAGGCCCCTATGATCATATTGGATCCTCATTATGGGCATCTCCGGGACTCAGTCCTCCCAGGGGGGACACCAAATTGGGCTTTCCAGTGTCAATGCTGAACACTGCACAGGGCCAGAGCCCCTTGCTCTTCCTAAGGAGAAATGGCTGTCATGTCCAGGAAGCCATTACTAGGTTTTAGCTGCCTCATCTGAGGCTCGGGAAGAAGTCTGAGGGTGGGAGGGGCGGGGGGCTGCAGAGGCCGGAGTTTGCTCCAGAAGGAGGGCGTTGGGGTGGGAGGGGGTGGCTACAGCCGGGCAGGGCTGCTCAAGGGGACTCAAGGGGAGCAGGAGGCAGGTGAGGGTACTTGCTTGCCTTCATCTGAGGGTGCAGAGTGGCTGGTGCCATATCATCTTGCTGGTGCAAGGATGCAATTTGACTTACTCAATTGAATCACCATGAGATTCACAGTGGCAATTGTTCCTGATTGGGTTTCTGTCCAGCATAAAAGGTACAGTGTTCACCCTATATGTGCTCTCTCCACTCTGTGGATGGCGGGAAGCAGCAGGTCACCTCCCTCCCTCTTCCAGGAGAAGCCCTTACAGAGCACAGGGGCCTGGAGTCAGTCAAGTTCTCACTCTGCTGTCAGCTGAGGCGGCTGCAGCAGGAGGAGCCTGAGAGAATTCCCCTCCCGAGCCCTGCCGGCCTCTCCCCAGGTGACCCTTGTGATCTCTCCACAGGACCTACATGGCAGTCTTCAGGAAGATCAAAGTAAAGAGTGAAAAGGTGAGTCAATTCGTCTTGTGGAGACCTCTGCTGATCAGTGTCCTCAGGGATGCAGAGAACTTGGTCCCAGTGCTGAGGACAACTTGCTCATTCCCTTCCCAGAGATGCCAAATGAAGACCCACCTCCCGCCACTAGCTTCCTCCCCCAGAAGCTTGCCACAGATGCACCACCACTGTAGACACCCCATCCCAACTGACACCCCACCCCCACTGACACCCTACCCCTAGAGACACCCCTTCTCTTCTGACACAGAGGCCAGAGATTTTTGCCAACTGACAATGCTCATTTGGGTGCAGTCTCCCAAAATTGGTCTGAGCCTCTCAAGACTGCTCACTCTCTCCATTTTGCCATTCCCCACCCCCGGCAGGCATTTGACCAGGACATGCACAAAGGTAGGAGAAAAGGAGATAAGAATAGAAGCTTCTGCCGCCCTCTCTGCAGGCGAGATCATCTTTTAGATAGGAGATCAGGACCAGAGAGATCAAGCTCCTTGCCCAGGAACACACCACTAGTTCTTTTGACCTTGCTAGAACCAAAGTCCTTCCAGGGTCTCCACTCCAGCCCTTGACTTTGGCGGTCTCACTGTCCTCATGGGAAGAAGCCATATGAGAACCAGTTTCATCAGAGGGTGATCATTCCACACCTGGAAATACCTTACAGTTTGGCTAATCAGTGAATGGTATGCCAGTAACCTGCCCAATCCACGATCCCTGCCCCCTTCTGGAGGCTGGCCCATGTGCTTCCTGCACATGCCCAATAAATCAGCCTATCCTCAAGGCAGGTGGGCGGTGGGACAGAGGCCAGACTTGGCACCAGGAGGTCTCCACTTGGCCTAGCACAAGTCACTTAGTCTCTGAACCTATTTCCTCCTGTGTAACCGGGAGAGGACAGCGATTCCCTGTGCCAGAATTGCCTTCCTCAGCACCCAGAGCACAGAGGCCAGCTGGTGGAGCCAGGGAGCCCCTGCCCTTTCTTTCCCATCATTGCCCTGACGCGGGCCTCTACCCCTGGCCTCCCTTCTCCCCCGCTGGCCTCATTGGCTGGTTTTCCCACTGTCCTCCAGGATCCTTTCACCTCCTGCACTTTCCAGCGTCCACAGTTTAAACAACTGTCCCTCTCCCTGGAACGCCAGTGCCGTGCATGCCGCGGTGTCTGTCTGTCTGACTGTTCATGGGGGCGGGCGGGGGAGGCGTGCCCAGTGGCCATTGCTGCAGGCAGGCTCCCTCACCAGCCTCTCCCCATCCCTCACCTACACACAGATCCTGGTCTACCACCCAGCCTTCATCAAATATGTCTACGACAACTGGCTGCAGGGCCACGGGCGCTACCCCTCCACTGGCATCCTGGCCGTCATCTTTGCACTGCACGTCTGCGACGAGGTGGGTGCTCGGGGGGAATTGGGGTCCCTTTTGATGGGCCGGAGACCAGGAGTGCGTCTCCTCTCCACAGCTGCTGGAGTGCTCCTAGGGGAAAGAGCAGCAGCAGATCCTCAGGGTAGGTGCTGAGGGCAGAGTCGGGGCATCTGCCGCGTCAGGAGCTGCCCTCACACTGCCAGGAGCACCCAGGGGAAGCCCCGATGGGCTGCAGTGCAGGAGCAGGAGAACATAAGCAGGAGAGGACTCAGCCCACTGGCTTCTATCTTCATTGGCTTTTTGGGGCACGGTTGAAGGCTCAGAGGCAGCGTGCAGGGCCCACCCTTAACAGAAGGTCTCAGGGTGAGATCCAGGCCCCCAGGATATCAGCATTCAGGAAGGTCAAGAACCAGGTGTTTCCCGGCAGGGTGGTGCCTGCCTGTCTGCCAGGCTACGTCCAACACTCCACCAATGTGTGGGGAGTGTCGGAGAGAAAGAACAGGGCTTAAGGCTCTTGCTTTGCATATGGTCAATTCAGGTTTGATCCCCAGCACTGTCTAGGGTCTCCAGAACCCTGCCCGGAGGGATCCCTGAGCACAGAGCTCTGAGTACTGCTGGGTGTGGCCCCAATACAAAGCATTAAAAAAATAAAAAGGAAAGAAAAGAAAGAAAGAAAAGAAAACCAGCAACTTTTGCCCGCCTCCTTATTATCAGTTGGGGACAGTGGGGTCCCGCCTCTGGGTCCTCCCGGGAAGGCTCAGAACTAGAGTTTGCGGTAGCCTCCTCCCTATTCTATCTCTAGCTCATCAGCTTGGGAAGAAGAGGTTGACCCAGCAGGCACTAGAAGTGAGCGGCATGAGGACCACCACAAGCACCCAACTTCTAGCATTAAACCAGACCTTTCCTCCCCAACTTTGACTTCACTTGGCCTGCCAGGGGCCCTCCCGGAGCCTGCAGAAGGGTTGGTAGGAGTCCTTGGAAACTGTGCTCCCGGGGTCCCTTATGAGAACATGCCCTGCCATCCCCTCTCACCTCTGTGCTTCCCCCACAGGTCAATCTGTACGGCTTTGGGGCGAACAGCAAAGGAGACTGGCACCACTACTGGGAGACCAACCCCTCGGCAGGGGCTTTTCGCAAGACGGGTGTTCACGATGGGGACTTTGAGTCCAACGTGACCTCCATTTTGACCTCCATCAACAAAGTCCGGATCTTCCATGGGAGATGACGCTGCCCTGGGGCCCACCCCTCCATGGCAGCCCCATGACCGGCCTTGGGGGAGCCTCTTATTCCCAGCACTGCGCTGCCTCTGCTGAGCGAGGCCTGCTCTGCCCTGGGCCGGGGAGAGAGGGGTATGGCGGGGGGTCGGGATTTGAAGGTGGAGATGTGGAAGAGCATCAATCTCCACACTGGGTGAGGGTCAGGGCCTGGGTACCACATCCTAAGGACTCCCATATTCCTCAGGGAGCACCGTCTCCCAGGAGGAAGGGCTGCATCTGCTCTCTGCCAACGACCTTGCTGCAGATTCAGCCTCTGGTGCTCCTGGGTGAGTGAGGCCAGCCAGCATGGGACAGAGCGTGGTGGACACAGAGGATGAGATCTCTCTCCTTGCATGATGCCTGGCCCCTCAATAGGGGGCGCTGCTCCCCACTCTAGCTTTCCAAAGTTCATGCCAGGTGGCCAGGAGCAGTGCCCCCCACCGTCCCTGGCCTGGAGCCTCTGAGTCCTGCCATGTCTCTCCTGCTGGGGCGCTCTGGAGGAATCGTTCTTTCCAACTCAAATTCTAGTATGCAACAGCAGCCCCGGCGACTTTCATGTGCCTTTGTCTTGGGAGGGGACCAGCGTGGGCTAAGAGGGGGCCCTGTGCCTCTGCCTGTACCCTGCAGCCGTTGCTTGCCGACTGGGCTCATCCTTTGTGGTTTCTCCGGCTCTTCGGTGGCAGCATGTCTCAGAGGATACCAATGTCACCTGGCAGGCATTGAGCCTGGCACGGCCACTCCCACAGGCCCGGAATGCTGGACTTTGTTCTCTCCTACCTTCCAAGTTGACTTCCCCATGGGGCCTCCTCTGGCAGGTTTAATCCTGTGGGTGGCAGATGGTTGCATGGCCCACATCTGACTGTGTGGGAGAAATCATACCTCATCCCCGGCCACCAGCTCCCACTGCTGTTGTCTGTCTGCCTCATCCACTTTCCTGATTATTTATTGATGACTATTTTCAACTCATCTGACCTGAGCTGCACTTTGTAGTGCTAATGTGGATCCTGGTGTTTGTGTCAAGCTTACCGTTGCATCCCGCCAACTGCCGCAGAGCGGCAAACTTCAAGCCAGCCTTTTTTAGGTAGCCCCTAGATCTGGGCCTTTGGAGGGATGGAAGAGCTCGCTGGTAGGCAGATTCTGTGGTGTCGGGCTGGTGTTGATCCACCCCCATCCCTTCCAGCTCCACTTTTCTTCTTTCCTCATTGTGATTCCCTGTCAGGCTGGGAGTCTCCAAAACTCAGGGGGGGGAGCATCTTGGGGCTGGGTGGGGAGTGAAGTCTCAGGCATAAGAAGAGAAGTTATTGGCCCTAGGTCCTGGCACTCAACAGAACCAAAGCTCGTTTCCTTTGGGCACATTTGTTAAGAGACCAGAGTCACGGTAGGGGAAGTGGGGGGTCTTTCTGGCTGGAATGTGAAGGTGCGTTACCGGGGTCTCCTCACCTGCACTTGGGCTCGTCCTGCTCTTCCCTGGCCTCCTTCTGCAGACAGGAGGGAGGGATTAGGGGTACGTAACAGCCACGAGTGGTATTGTGTCACTCCAGAACTCCTAGAAATGACATGTCATTCCTTAACCTTCTTACTTCTGAACAAACTAGTTTCCTAACTGAACGTTTAAGTGGGGTTCTCCAAGATCTACTGTCACTATCTCTGTCACTGTCACTTTCCTTCCGTCATTCATTGATATGCTCAGGCGGGCCCAGTAAAGTCCAAGATTCAGAATAAAAAATAAAAAAAATGTTTGAAAACACACACAAACCTGTTCCCGCTTTAAAATTCTCCAAAACGTGGGTCCTGCCTGGAGACTCATACACTGCCATCAGGCCCTTTAAGCCAGCAGGTATCCCTGAAACCAGAGCTCATAGTGGTGCTTGGGAACCATGGCCTCTAGGAACACCTGCCAGTTGGCCTGTCAAACCCAGGGACGGAGCTGGGAAAAGAAATACCATGGACACCAGCTGCAGCGTGGCCTCCCACGATCTCAGTGGATCCTGCCAGCTGAGTGTGCTCAAGGAGGGCAGGGGCAGAGCCAGCACCTTGCTTCTGGTGGAAGAAGTAAGTTGTGGAGTTGGAGCCATAACAAGCTTCCCAAGGGAGCTCATGGTCATGGCAAGGCTGCAAGGCACCAGGCTCATGGTCCAGTCTCTGCTCCCTCCCACGCAGCCCTCCAACTTGGGAAGTGCCTTCCACACCCAACTCTGTCCTCTAATATTGTACAGATAAGAAAAGCAAGACTCCTAAAGGGGCAGTGTCTCAGGGCTGGAGCAAGAGTACACCAGGTCAAACATTTGCCTTGCATGCAGCCAACCCTGTTGTAATCCCCACCATCCCATAGGGTCCCCCAAACACCACTAGTTGTTCTGAGTGCAGAGCCAGGAGTAACCCTTGGGCATTGCCAGGTGTGGCCCCAAAACCAAAAATTAAAATATAAATATATAGGCAGCAGGGGGAGGGGGTGACTTGGGAGGTTCAACAACTGACAGAGGGCACCAGCCAAAGCAGAGGGCACAAGCAGGCTACTTGTTTGAAGACTCGCAGGGGCCTTTCCCGGCCAGGCTCCCCCTGCATCTCCCAGGCCTGGAAACTGGGCTCAGGTTCCAGGCTGTGTTTTGCTGCTGCGTTCAACCTCAGGTCAGCCTCCCTGGTGGTCCTGGCCCACATTTCACTTTCCCAACGGCTCCCTGCCTGCTCAGTGTGTCTCCTGGGTCCTAGTGGCTTTACCCAATAAAAGCCAGGCATTACAGCTGGGTATGAAATGCGCGAGTGGGCATTCTTCAGGTCTGAGAGTGGGAGGGTGTGTCTCACGGTGAGCTTGCATCTTGATGAGAGAGCAAATAGCAGCCAACCTGGGGAACACTTGCCTCTGAGACTGAGGTTGGAAAGGCAGGTCCCAGAAATGGCGGGTGGTGACAGCCCGGCCTTCAGTGGAGCAGGGCACTGGTTATTTCTGAGCAAAAGCATCTATAGCCAAACCAGCCTCTATAGCCACCCCCCTGGCTGCCCCTGTCCTTGCCCACCTGTTAAGTGGGAAGGGAGGGGCGAGTTTGAAGCCTCTAGAGCCAGGAGTGGTGGAAAGGACCAGGACTTGAGAAGGTTCTTGAACAGTTGCCTTTAAAGACTCAGGACCACAGAGATAGTACAGTGTGTAGGTTACTTGCCTCACATGTGGCTGCCCCAGGTTTGTTCCCTAGCTTCCCATATGGTCCCCTGAGGACCACCAGGAGCAATCCCTGAGCACAGAGCCAGGAGTAAGCCCTGAGCATTGTCAGGTGTGACTCCCAACCAAAGCCAAACCAAATCAATAAGAAACTCTGGGATTAGTCCAGCAAACCACACGGGTGAGGCCAGGTGCAAATAGGATGCAATAGCAGGGGATCCCCAGATCAAAGAGAGCAGTGGAAGGCAAGGAAGATCGCAGCAACTCAAAGAGCAAGAGATCGACAGGTGGCAGGCTGCCCTGTCCCAAGAGTCCCCAAAGGGGCTGCTGGTGACCAGTCCCACCCACCTCAACACCAACCAGACCTCAGCCCACTTGGAGAACTGTGCCGTTTCATTTGCTTGTTACCGAGGTGGCCCGAATATGAACAGAAAAGTCCCCAGACCCCATCATGTCAGGATGATAAAAAAAAATAGGAAACACCATCTCCAAGGTGCCCAAGGTGGCAGCTGTGCCACCAGAAGCCAGCAACTGTCCTCGTAAGAACCCTGGGCAACCCCACAGTCCACCCGGGAGAGTTGGGTGTATCCTCCACCCTGGAGTCTAAACAAACATGTTTTGAGAGAGTCCACGAGCTTCGAGTTAGGAAATTCTCCCACTCTGCTGTGCTCTGCATCACTTCTCAGCAGACAAGAGTGGGGGACTTCAGAGGGACAGACACATGCTAGGGCATCTCAGGGCTGGTCTGCACAGGGCATTCACAGCGTTTTCCTTAGCCACGGCTAAGCAGCATCTTTAGCGGTGGTTGCATTTCCTGAAAGCAACATCTTCTGCAGCAGGCCTGCATGCCTGCCAGGCCCACCCAGGATCCAACTAACAGCTGAATTTGTCTGCTCAGCCCATGGACCACCTGCCACCAGCTTTAACAATGCTCCCAAGGCCCAACGTGGGATGCACAGTCACTATAGCACTTCATCGAATGGACTCAAAGCCAAAGTTTCTTGAGCACTTTATCTTGGTGATCTTGCTTGGTTTTGGTTGTTGCTTTTATCATTTTTTTCCAGCTCCCCGATCCCCAATCCTCCCCTACCTCAAGCTTTGGCTTTTATTTTTTTGTTTGTGTTCACAGTTGATGTTCATCTGAATGCATTTGGAGGAGAGTCTGCCTTCTTCAGCTTCTGCTTTGTCTTTTTTATTGTTGAGCATTTCCGAAAGTCCCTCTCAAAGTGAATAAAAAAAGAGCTATTTTATCGTTTGACTGTTGGTACTTTATCCACACGCCTTTTTATCCATGCTATTTCCACTCACATCTTTGAAATCCTCAAGGTACAAGGTTCTTTGTATCTTCCAGGGACCTCCTAGGTCAGTGTCCCTCCAAGCAAGTATTTAGAGCAGAGTGTCCCAAAAACAGAACCATAACCACTCTCCAACTGGGAGTGCTGGAGAAATCCAGGCAAGTGTCAGGAGCCTTGGATATAATTTGGGGGTAGATTTGTGTGTGTGTGTGTGTGACCGATTTATGTGTATGTTTATTTGTATATATATTTGTATATATGTATATTTATGAAGAGACAACAGTAAGCCACATAAATTTGAAGCCTTCAAGTAATTCAAAGTTTTAGAGGACCAAAAGGTCATTCCCTGTCCACAGCTCAGCTTCCCCACTGTGTGTCCAAGGCCAGTGTCCTCACCTCTATGAGCCTCAGCTGTCTTATTTATCGGATGGGCCATAATTCTAATTCTGGCCATTGAGAAGGTTGACAGCAAGATGAAAGTCAGCCCAGGAGACTGAGTAGATGCAGGCCAGCTTTGCCACATTTGCTGGAAGAAATAGTCTTGGCTGAGGGTTCTCGTGGTGCTGGTTGGTGTCCATCTTTCTCAACATAGCAGCACCCATGAATTGGGAATCTGGCCCCAGGTGGTATACATCTCCCTTTAAGATACAGAAAAGAGAGTCAGGAGGTAGTACAGTGGTTAGGGAGAAAGCCTGGCATGCACCTGACTCAGGTCCATCTCCCAAGGACCACAAGCATTGCCAAATGCAGTTCTGGAGGCTCCTGAGCCCTGTAGGATGTGGCCCAGGTATTGCCCACACCACAGGGCCCAAGAATCACTGAATCCTTGGATTCTTTCACTGAACTTCCTGCCCAGTCAATCAAGAATCGGCCAGGGTTGGGGGGCGGGGTTGGAGCAATAACACAGCGGGTAGAGTGTTTGCCTTGAATGCAGCCAACTTGGGTTCGATTCCCAGCATCCCATATGGTCCCCTGAGCACCTCCAGGAGTAATTCCTGAGTGCAGAGCCAGGAGTAACTCCTGTGCATCACTGGGTGTTACCCAAAAAGAAAAAAAAAGGAATCCCCAGAACTGCCAAGCTTGGGAGTACCCACCCACAAAAGTCAAACAAAAAAAAAAACAGGTGGTGGGGGCGGGGGAGGGAGGTTAGGGCCAGAAAGATAGTATAGAGGTTAAGGCACTTGCCTTGCATGCTGACCCCCGTTCAAGTCTCCAACACTACCTATGGTCTCTTGAGAACCACCAAGAATGATCCCTGGGTATGGCCAGGTATAGTCCCCAAGCTTAAAATTATTTTAACTAATAGAATTTGAAAAGTCCATGAATCTAGTATTAGGATGCTCTTTAAAAACTGTGTTGAGTATTAAAAGCCCCCATTTCTGCAGTTTGTACAAACTTCTTAGGTTAGATCTGGGGATTTAGCACAGCGTACACACACACACACACACACACACACACACACACATAGGGCCAGTGAACAGTTGTGGTTTCAATCTAGGGAAAAAGCAGAGTTCAAGCCTGCTGAGAGCAGAGGAGATTCAGTTGAGCCTTCTCTCCCCAGATGTGGGGCTCCCTACTCTCCTGCTCCTTGCAGGACATCTCCCAAGTTCATCTAAGAAGTTTGTCCTTGGGGACCTTCTAATGGCAACCCCAGAGGCAAGATGGCACAGGGAGGAACAGGAGCCCTGAAACCAGACAGTCTGGTTCCCTCCTTGTTACTGTGTGAGGTTCTGTGAGCTCCTTAACTAGTCTGTGCCCTTGTCTCCTTATGGGTAAAATTAGGAAAAAGGCACCCCCCTTCCACACACACACAGTTGTATTGAGGAACAGAAAAGGGCTTAGACAAGAACCTAGTACACAGGAAACCTCAGTGAGTTTTAGCGGTTGTTCAAGAAAGACGGGAGCAGAGAACGACATGCCAGAAAAACTTCGAAGTCTCCCTGGGGGTCTAAGTCTTGATTTCTGACTTTCCCTCCCCTCTACCCGCCCCCTCCCCCATTCCCTTCTTCATCCTGTCTCCACCCAAGTTGCTGGAAGACTTGTAGCCACTCACTGCATTTTGTCCAGAAGATTCCTTCAGTTTCCAAATCACTTCTGTCTTTCCTAGAGCAGTCTGTCATCCTCAGGCTACCCGGGGCCCTGAATCCATCTATTGTTTGCCTGCCCCCAGCCCATCCCCACCCAGACCCTCCCCGCCTCCACCCCGCCCCTCCAGATGCTGAGCACACATTTAGCTGCAATGTGAGCATGCAGCCACCAGGTGTCGACACATGCTGCCGGGCTCTAAACTAGGAAAGTCCAGCCCTCCCCCAGTTCCCAACCTCGACCTCACCGGCTGCCTGTACATCTCAGGCGTCCTGGCCAGGGCCCTGGAAGGGAATGCAATAACGCAGGGTCTTCCACAAACCTAAGGATCAAAAGGTATTGCTTTCTTTATTTTGGATTTTGTTTGGGGCTCTGCACTCAGGAATTACTCCCGGCAGTGCTCAGAGGACCATATGGGATGCGGAGGATCGAACCCGAGTCGCCGCCAACAAAGGCAGTGTTCTACTGCTGTACTTCACTCCAGCACCTCAAAAGAGATTTCTTCCAGACCCTTCAGAAGTTAGAAGCAGGGACACCTCCCCCTCTACCCACTCCCAGCCCTCCACAAACACAGATCCTCTGGGATTTGACTGAGCAGGCAGGGCAGAACCAGGACAAATTCTGCTGCAAGCACTCCCTCAGACCTTCCAAACATGATCTGTGTTGGAGCTGGGTTGTTTCACAGAGAAGCCTGCTGCAGTGCGAGAAAGGCCTCTCTTCTCTCTCTCACAAAGCCAGCTTTAGAGATCCACCAAGCAGTAACCGTGCTCAGCAAAACCATCCATGTTAATGCTATTGTGAACTCACGTCCCAAGCTAGAATAATTAAATGGAAATATATATGAACCTCATTTTCCTGTCTATAGATTCAAGAATCATTCCTGTTGCCTTCTCCCTGATGCATTTTTTTCCCCCTCGGTGGTTTGCAATACTGTTAATGACAGGGTTCCATGCATAGCACAGTCCCTCCCGCTCCCCCAAGGGGCTGCTTCCCTCTGTACTTGTCCCAGAGTTCCTCACCCCTTCCCCTATCATAAACTTCCTCCTAGAGACCAGTTCTGTTTCTGTTGCCTTTGGTCATTTGCTTTTCTCTGCTTTGTTTCTTCATATCCCACATCTGAGCCAGATTGTTCTGTGTCTGTGCCTCTACGACTCTCTTCACTCCACACTGCATTTTATTATACCAGGAGGTTTGCTCCATGGCTTGGAGGCAGCCACACATGCTAAGGGAAAAGGGAGCTCAGATAGAGAAGGGAGCACCAAATAAAGGGTGTTGGGAGGATCCTCCCAGGATGGGAGAAGCATGCTGAAAGTAGACTACAGACCAAACATGATTGCCACTCAATGCCTCTTTTGCAAAGCACAACATCCATCCAAAAGGAGAGAGAGAACAAAAGGGAGTGCCCTGCCACAGAGCCAGGGTGGGATGGGGGGGATGGGGGGGTGGGAGGGATACTGGGACCTGTGGTGGTGGAAAATGGGCACTGGTGGAAGGATGGGTATTTGATCATTGTATAATTGAAATCCAAGCACAAAAATTTGTAAGTCTACAACTGTACCTCGTGGTGTCTCACTAATAAAAATTTTAAAAAATAAAATTTATAAACATATATCTATATTTCTTTTTTTTTTTTTGCTTTATGAGTCACAGTCAGTGATGCACAGGGGTTATGCCTGGCCCATCACTCAGGAATTACTCCTGGTTGTGCTCGGGGGACCATATGGGATGCTGGGAATCAAACCCGGGTCGGCCCCGTGCAAGACAAACACCCTACCCGCTGTGCTATCTCTCCAGTCCCAGAATATTAAATAGTTTTAAAATTACAAGCAATGCATTGAACCACACTTTGCAGCAATATACAGTAAAAGTCTCACAATTTAAAAATGTACACAATTTAAATTCAAAGTTCATTAACAGTTATATTGCCTTGAACCCTGGCACCGAGCATCGCAGGCAGGATGACCCCTGAGCACTCACTGGGGAATGAATGAAGCAGTGACTGGACATGCTGGTCCAGTGTTCGGATATGCTCAGCCTGTGCCCACCAAAACAACTTGAACATTTTTTAGCCAATCCCTAAATGGGTTGTTGGCTATTCAATATTGTCAACGAATTTTTAAGAGTTTAGCTCTATCCTGAAGGGAATATTTTAACCATTTTAAATTGTTCTAGTTTAATCGTGCTGCATTTTTTTTCTCATTTCCTTCCTGGTTTCTTCATTGCTGTGAATCTCCTGAGGGACAAAGGGTCCCACCTAAGAGGTGGGCTTGCCCTGAGTGCAGGCAAGGGTTAGCACCTCTGTGACCCCTGAGCAGGTGGAGGTGCTTGGGTCTTTTGCACATGTTCAGTCCCCAGAATGACTGGACAGTTGGATGCCTTACTCCATAATTCACTTTAAGTTACGTCCTGGGCAGGGGGCAGGGTTCTGACTGGAATATTCCAGCTGACAGGAAATGAATAAATATGGGCCTTTTATGAAGGGGGTGAGTACAGAGACTTGCTGAGGGGTCAGTTCCAGACTCTTTTGATAGGGCAAATAGCATAATAGTCACAGGAAGTGCTTTGCTCCTCAGTACACATTAAATGTCTGCATTCTGGTTAAGAAAAGTATATTCCTTTATTAAAAATACTTGAATGTTTTTGGTGGAGAGATAGTATAGCAAGAAGGGTAAGGTGCTTGTTGTGCATGATCCCTAGTATCCCATGATGTCCTCTGAGCCCTGCCAGTAGAAATCCCTGTCACGGAGCAAGGAGTAAGCACTGAACACCACTATTTGTGGCCCCAATACCTCCTCCTCCTCAATTTTTGTTTTTAGAGCTGTGTCCTCTAAGCCTTCTGTGGATGGCATCATTTTGCTGGTGGAGAGCGTCATTA